CCCCGCGCCGCCCGGAAGCGGAAGCGCGCCGGCGGCCGCGGGGCCCCGCAGGCTCTCGGACGACGGGCCCGGGCCGAGCCGGCGCCGGTTGCCGCCGAGGAGCTAGGCGGCAGAAGCGGTGGAGCGCGGCGCGGGCCGCGCGCTGGCCACCCGGCGAGCTCACCAACCGGACCAGAGGAGGCAGCGTACCCGGCCTCCACCGACTCCCACAGTAACGGCTCCACCACTTGCGTTGGAAAAGTCCGCTTTATTCCATGCTACGTACAGAGAACGGCCACGTGCTCCCTCAACGGAGCTGTTCTTTTAGAACAGTGTTGGTGCTTTCACAGCACCTTTCCGTCAGAGCCTGAAGAGCTTTCGTTTTACCCACCCACTCTCCCAGGATGACATCAACCTCTCAGCGCGGGTGGAGTGGGGCGTTATGCACTGCTACAGCAGAAAACATTTCTTTTTCTGCTAAAGCCTGCACAGAAAACCTTTTGGCACACAGATGAAGCAACGTGTTCTTAATAGTGTACTTGCTGCCTTTCATGCATGCAACATCTTACAGCACTGGTCTTGAACTATTTTGTATATACACCACCTGTTGCCGTGCTTGATCAAAGAAAATAACAGCTGGGACTGGAGATGCACAGTCTGTAAACCTATGCCCAATATCGGCCTTAGCAAAGAAGTTTTACAAATGATCTCGGAGACTAGCCAACTGTTCTCCGCAATGGCGAGCCTGCACTCCATTATGTTCTGCTTTACGGCAGAAATTCAGAAAGTCAAGAATCCTCGCAGAAGGTCAGTCATCTCGGTGCCACGATACACGTTCAACTTCTTGACATTCCATATGAACTTGCTGTTTACCAGCCAAATTTCTTCATACAGTGTCATTCCAAATTCCTGTGTCGCCATGCAGGTGCTCATCATCCTTTGACCCGTTAAAAACAGTTGTCACTGCAGTTGCCAGTTTGTGACTTACATGTTCAACACTGGTATTTTCAGCTGTAATATTTAGTTTAAGACATCAGTTATTTCCGCTTTTAAACACCAAAACATTTCTGTCACAGAATTTACTCAATAGTTTTGAAATAATAAGTCACGTAGAGTAAGCTGTGAATTCTGCTTTTGATTGTACAGTTCTAATCTGCAGTAATTGTATGAACTAACAAACTGTCAGAAATACTGTGCAAGTTACATAGTTAATAGTTTAAACATGCAGATAAAATGTTCTATAAAAATTCCAGTACGATGAGTTTTCCCTAGAAAAGGGTCACCAATTAAAAAAACAAAACAAAAAAACAGAGAAGAAAGTTTCTCAAAACAAAAAGAAGAAAAAATTAAGTATGTCACTAATTTTAAGCTAATTTAATTAGCTCAAAGGTTCATTGTTTTCTTCAGGTGCCAATTCTGAACATAAAAAGTGTAAATATATATTCAGGGAGATTAAATCCTCCTTAGACAAATAGTTCATGTAATAATGGGCACGATGGACTGGAAGGCATGGTGGGGAACGACAGAAAAAAACCCACAAAAAAACCCCTAAACCCCACCACCAAAAAACCAAAAAACCAACTTGTCTGGAATTAATCCAGATAAGCCTTGCTTCTTCATAGCCAGCACCGAACAGTCTTTCCTTCTAAAAAGTGCATGTGATATGGTACTTAGAAATCAAAGAGAGGAAAAAAAGCTGACTAAGAAAGGATAAAACCAATTCAAACAGGTACAGAGAACATTTCAAGTGTTCTTGAAGAAGTCAGGCCTTGTGGTTGACTATGCAGAAAATGGAGTTACTTAAAAGATGCTTACGTGCTATGAATGCTCTAACACCGATTTCCTTTTTCTTTGGCACCTTAAGTACCAGAGACAAACTTCAAATACAACAGCAGTCAAAATTTTTCTATAAAGCTAAAATTTCAAGTCATCAACACATTTGGGGGGGGCAAAATAAGTCCTCTTGCACAGGAATCAAGACCTAAGTACTTATTAAAAACTTTGTCTACTGAATTTTACCTCCATATATGTCAGATTATTTAATCCTTGCTGTAACCAAAAACAACATTTGGGTATTCACATTCTGAATAGACAATAATGAAAACAAATGATACCAAAAAACTCACCAGAATTTCCTTTGTATGCAATACCGTGCTGACTTAATAAATCTTTAAGTTTTTTTATTTCTTTAGAAAGTTGCTTGTATTCCTAAGAAAGGAAATACATTTTAAATGGCTCTCCCACTCTCCAAATGCATACATAAAATGGGAATTTATAAAAAATAATAAGTCTGTGCACAGCTGTTAGAGCTTTTCACTTAGAAGATCTTAAAAGATAAACTGCTTATTCCAAGAACAAGGCACAAATTTTATAAAAAGATACATTCCTATGTTGCCAAAACAGGAGCCAGCTTTTTCCAAGCCCAAGAGTGAAAATTAGGAGTGCTTTCTGTAACTATTTCAGATCTATCCTCTAACTAGCATTTTATCATAGCATAAAATTGCATTCATAAAGTTTGCCACAGGACCAGGCTTATTTTATTTTATATTACAATGCTACAGTCTGGAAGTTTGTCACCTCCTCAACTCTTGACCTTCACATTCTTGCTTTCAGCAGTTTCTGTTAACTTACAGAGCCAGGGATTGCTTAGTACTTTTGAGGCTCAAACCACGTATCTGGAATCTCGAAGAAGCCCTAATTTTTTTATTGTGTTTTGTTTTTTACATCAATCAAGAAAGAGCAAAAGATTAACTATTTAAGATTCCGTGGTTACCAAAACAGCCAACTTTATGTCAATTGAGCTATGATGAAGCAGAAAAAGAAGTACAAATTATTAAATATTGTATTGTTAACTATTGGGAAAAAAAAAATAGGTGAATATTCCAGCTCCTAGCAGTACCACATCAAAATGGTGATCCTTATATAAGCATATTCAGCTAAACCCCAGTTTATTTGGTTATATTCAGGAATTACTACGTGGTGTTTTGTCTTTTCTACATTTTCAAACAAAATTACAACAGCAGCTTCTTCTCTGCATTATAATGAATTAATTCCCTTCCATGCTCTTTTTTTGATGTTCAGCTTGCACTCCTTGAGGTTGTCTACCTCTATTTTCCCCATTTCAATTCTGTTGCAGAAGGACTGTTCACACACATGAAAGTTATTCAGAAATGGACACAGCATAGCTCATTCTGCCCTTTGCTTGTGCAACAGCCAATGCATTCTGACACGAGTCTGGGTAATTATCCATGTCAACATTCCCAAGGCTGGTTGCACATTTATTTTCACTAGCAAGTCCTTCCTATTTCCAGACTGATACTCCCCAGAAAGAGTACTTATAAGGTGTTCATAACGCAAGTGCCTACTCTAATTCCTATACACACACCCGTCTTCTTATTGGGCATTCAGTTGTGCTGCTTTGTTTTTGACTTAAGGGCTAGAATAAAGATATCAAACCGCTCTGTATGCAGACTGCTACATATTGAAACCAGATGAGATAATCCCATGAACAGATTTCAGCTGAATCCAAAGAGTGTTTACATAATGCTGTCACACTTATACTGTCATAAAGTGAAAACCGGCAATATAATTCCACACTGTAAATATTACACTCTATACCTTACTGCACTTCTCCACTGTTTCAAATTCCACACTTATTTTCTTATTCTGTTTCTCAACTTCTTCTTCTTCTGTTGCTTTTAGAAGTCCTGCTTCCTCAAAAATCTCTTTCAGTATTTTTTTGTATCCCTGAAAAAGAAAGTTTCTAAAAGACAATAGATCAATCCACCCGACTCTCATCTCTGCTTGTAATTTGCACTGGCCATTCCAATTCCTCAAGCTTCACTGTAGCAAACATTACAATTATCAGTTGATATAGCAGTTACAGAGCACAAAAATTACTATTTGCCAACTGCAGAATAAATGCATCCGTTCGAAAAGGAGAAACTGCAGAAGCCAGGTTTGGCTATTTGACAATAATTGTTCTTTACCAAATAGGGTTGGAAGAAGTTAACAAACCTGGTCAGTTATTAGTTCATCATACAGAAGCTGCTCTGCTTCATCCCACTTCCTTTGTAGTGCTTCAGTCAGAGTTGGATAAACTGGAAAATGGAAGTCAAACCACGTAAAAACCAACAGCATTATCCTGCATTAGTTAAATGCTCCTCTAGTAGCATGCAAGTGTATTTGTTTTAAGAAGTCAAGGTTTCTATACAGTACAGAGTCTCTACTGCTTTCAAGAGTTGGTGTTAAACTTAAAATCCACTTCACACATTGAAAGTTGCCGGAGAATGCCACCAACCAAAAATTTTTCTCTTATTTCCAGCTAGAAGGCCTCATATTTCTTTGTTGAATGTAATTCTCACTGACCTCTCCCTTTTTGTAATGTAATTAAATGTGCAAATACTGCAGGGCTGATTCCTACGACCAGTCCAAGAAAAAAAGACAAAGAGAAAAAAAAAACCCAAAAAAACCCCCACTCACTGAGTCTACACTAGCAATGACAATTTATTTGAGAAATACCTATGTGTTATAATGACTGGGATTTAAAATACACTTCATATTATATGTTACATTTAATACTCATTTATATCAAGTTACAAACTCAAAGAACCTAAAAATTTACACTCTGAGGTTGGTGTAACATGCCAGCTGCTCCACACACAAATGATTTTCTAAATCTTACCTAAAAGAGAGTGGGGATGGCATACGAGAGGAGTCTCAAATGTCAGAGAGTAAACACAAGTACTCGGCTCAGACACATATGCCAATTTATTGCTCTTTCCACAAACAAGATGAACCTAAACACCAGTAAAAACAAAGATGCGTGAATCACCTCCACATAAAACAGGACAGGACCAGCATTGATGATCCATTTGCTGTCTTCCAATGCTAGCAGATGCATTTCTGTACATACTGTCATGTCAAAGCTTCCAGTGCTGTCACCCACAGAAAAAGAATCATAGCTAGCACATCTTCAAATTATTTTATCAAACGTGAAAATTGCTTGCTCTAATGGGAAATGGTCCCCCCACCTATCACTGTTCCTTGGACTCCCAAGCACTGTATTTCCAGCAAGAATTAGAGTAAAAGGGAGGGTGAATAGGACACCCTTTAGAACCTCACCTGACATAAGCATAATTCACTTGACAAATTTTAGTTCTGTCCAATGTGCTAAATAAAGAGAACAATACACATCTAGCCTGTAGAAATTTGTTTCCATCTTTAAACTTGCAGCACCAGTATTTTCTGTCTGTTCAAAACTAAATGCCAGTGAAAGATCTGAATCACAGTATCAAAGGTGATACAAGAATAGTAATTCTTTCCGCAGCCCCTATGGGAGATAAAGATGTTAACAAGGCACCTCCATCACAGTATAGAGTATTTTCACCTTGGCCAAGACATTTTGTCACTTATCCCATCTTCATATGAATTATTATTCCAACTATATATCCCTCTCTCAAGTACTGTATTGTCACCCATCATTGTAATAGCTAAGCATCTTTTACATGAAAAGCAGCCTGTTGTGAACTATACAGTATCTTTAACTCTTCTTCACAACATCTACCTATGTTACCAGGGAATGTGAGATTTAATTCATTGTATCTGTAAAACTGTGTAACATAATGAAACAGGAGGTGGAAAAAGAAAAACATTAATGAATGAAAGGATACACAATGTATGCAAATCATGTGCCACACATTGTCACAATCTGTGACACAAGTCTCAGACACCCTTCCTTACCCTTGGCACAGAGACTACTTGAATGTGAAAAAGAACATTTTAACCACTCCACAAAATAAGAATTTTTACTTTTTCTTTAAAATGTACTCACAGAAGAATCTGTTTATCTTGAGTTGGTTCCTCTGCCACTCCCATATATTTGATTGCTTCCTCAATTCTCCTTGCATGCCCTCTGCTCTTGTTTTAACACCTTACTTAGCTTCTCAGCATGCTGTTAACGCCTAATTCTTTTCCCTCCTTTTTCCTGGATGTTCTTAGCACAATATGCTGGCATCCCGCATTCAACAAATAGCTAATTTTCTTTATTTTTCCTGACACAAATTACAAAGCACTGTATGTTTCTACAGTAGTGATAATACCAGAATATTCCACTCTATCAAGGAAAAAAAAGAGTTAAAAGTAACCAATGAGAATACATAAGTAAACTTATTCAAAAATTTATCCTGATTTTAGCTTCCCTCCTCCATCCATTCACCTAGCTCCTACAGGAATTCATCTTCATGTTTTATATCACATCTTAAATTATGACTTCTTCAAGGTAGGAATGTTTCAGTCTGTAGAGTGTCATGAGTGTGTGTAGAGAGTCACGCTGTCTGAATTAGCATAGTCTAGGTTATTATACCTTTGTCTGTCTGCTCTTAGTTTCACATGAGTCTCCTTCCCTCATCCACATTCCAACAAATGTGTTGTTGTCAATTTCCCATTCATCCCAGATTCTGAAAGAAAACAAACCCAAAACAGGACATCATTTTATTTTAAGTTACTGGAAAGAAAAAGGTGAACACTCAGGAGGAAAAACAGGAATACCCTTATACCATGTTCAATTTAACTGTACATACTTCATTTTTGTTGTCTTAGTATTTCCAGCCAAGACCTTATAAACAGTGTAGTTTGTTATCTAGGCTGCTACACAGGGCACATCAACATTACTTTGAGAGCACAGTTTTGGATCAGCTTTCAGTTCGCAAACCATTTGCACGTACAAATCCATGTTTACATCCAATAAAATATAGCTTATAGATCATCCCACAACAAATTCCGTGAAGCTATGTACCCTGTGCAACTTGGATTGTTTGCAGGATTTTCAGTGCTGATGAGAGCACCTACAAAACCCAGTTGCTACTTCTGCTAGTCTTAAAGCCAATGATACTCTCAGCATCTCAATGTACCCTTTTCCTCTCATGTTGGCTCACTAATTATTGTGCACACAGGAAAAAAAAGAGACATCTATATACAAAATATTTAGAAAGGCAGTAATTTTAAAGCAGTGCTCTGGTTTATAATTAAGTTTATTTTAGGTCTTATGATTTGGATACTCTGGGGTCTTTGAATACTTTGGGATACTTTTTCGGGTCTACATTGAGTCTTTTATTACCTTTTGTTAAATATGTTTAACACAACGACTAGGCATAAAGCACTCATTTCATTTTGTAAGGTCACATTCAACTCAAAGTGAAAATAGTTAACAGATATGAAATCTTTGTTAATATAAGCTGTAGTTATACATTATTGAATTTCTCACATGAACATATCACACCTGCAGTTGGCACTGGTTATTAATCAGCCTCCAGCTAAAACAGGAAGTTAGTATTTATCAACAAAAAAATCTGAGTTTTTCAAGATGGGGTATTTTTATGCATAACGCCTTGGGAACTACAGTGACCGAACCTGACCAATAAAAGAATCTTAATTTTAAACCTGCCTCCTTTTTGACAATCTATAAAACAATCTACTAACAACACAGGTAAAACTTAAAGGTCTAAAAGCCTCACCCTAAAATCCCACTATAGGCATTCCATCGAAAAGTCTGCTCATGCTGAGTGACATTATGGAAAGGACAAAACTCATACTTGTACCTTAAAAGAAAAAAAGAAAAAGAAAAAAAGAAATGTTTTAGACTGAAATAAAAAACTAGTTTGTTCCCAATAAATATATAGAATCAAATATCCAAATCCATTACTCACGTGGATTCCACAAAACTGAAACACTTGCCAGCAAGCCTAAAGAGATGTGCAGGGCCTAAAAACACCACAAAATGACATCAAGGAAGAATAACATTTTGGTTAAATTTAAGCAAGTTACTGTGGTGACAAAATTGCAAGGCGTATGTGACAAATTTAGTTTTCTGCTGTACATAAGGAAATTTCTATCTTCCATATAGATTACTGTAAGTTCCCACTAGTGCTATATTGGTTTGCATCATGATCTTTAACATTTTTCATATTCAACACTCAGTGAAACAGATCAGCCTCTTTCTATGACAGAAATAAGAAAACTGTATACAAACAAATATTCAGAGGCCAGATCCATAAAAGGAATCATCAGTACAGATCTTGCCAAAATCTGACAATGAAATGACTAGAAGTCTTGCTTGGCAGCTGTCTGTCCCCAAAGTCATCCAAACTCCTCAAGTTTATACTAGTAAAGCCCATTTGCTCAGAATGATGACAGTGCTGCATATTTAAGTTTCACTGAGATTCTCGAACTAGATATTCCTTTTCGTAGTTTGCCTTCATGGTCTGATCCAGGTAGTATTCAGCAAGATAAACCTTCTACTGTCAGACAGGTCAGCAGTTACAATTCTACTCTTGTAGAATTGACCATTCCAGCCTTGCTGTCAAAGGAATCCAAGACAAGTAACTTGTAATTCAAAAAAGGGCCCAGAGTTCTGAACTAGGTGCTACAGGGCTATTTCAGTGTCCCTTGTTTAAGGTAATTTTGCATGGGATGATTAAATATTTGTGAGGAAAGGAGAAGAAAAGAGATTACAAAGCAAGTAAAATAAAACCCCATCCTGGATTCTAATTCCTCACTGCCAGGATTGCCTATGTACTTTTTCCAAAGATGTAGACAAGCAATCCTAGAAACAAAGATCAGACCACCAGAATCATGCCCTCCGGAATTCCCTAACCACTGGGATACAGGCAGGTTCTCTTTCCCATTTGATTTTTCTGACTGTATGATTTTGCACTTCATTCTACAGATTATCATAGGCTTGGCCAAAGGGTTTGCCCCTCTACTACATGCAACCTGTGCTTTAGTGATTAGGATGCTCTCCCCACAGAGGAAAAAAAAGCAAATTCGAATGTCCCTGAGGAATGCATTAAACTCATGCCTCCATTTCCTGGGCAGATGCTCTGAAAGAGAAATTATAGTAAATATTACCCCAGCTGTCTTGTAAAAGAAAAGAACAAGTAAGGTTTCCATGCTAAAGAAATAATTGTGAAGACAGGGTTCCATGCCTTAAGATTCCAATTCCATAGACGTTCCCAATTTTTGGCCACACGTAAGTTCCCACATCCAGGAAAGAAGGATTTCTATCATACTGTCCTTTTCACTTTTTTCCTGCTATTTTTGGCATCTTTCCATTCAGCATTCTATTACTAATCGTATTTCTATTTCACTTTTCACATGCAGTACCTGCAGAATTTATACATTTGATTTGGATTTATAAAACATGACAGAAGACATTAAGCATCATCACTTTCAGTGTCACCATACCAAGATGCCTTTATTGAACCTGAACAAGGTTTAAGCCCGTGCCTAAGGTTAGCAGAGAGACAAGAGTTATTTCCTTTTGCTTACTCCTTGCATTCAGGGTTTATTTTATCTACTGTCCTCCACATATTGTCTAGAATTTTTAGATTCCTGTTTACTTTGCTAAAGAAGTGGTGGATTTACATTGCAGCACCCAGCCTTCGTCTGTGAAACTGAACCTCTGTGACTTGTTCTAAGACTACTTTTAGGACTTTTTTAAAAATAATTTTTGAGTATTATCCCATCAGATGATGGGATGGCTTTTATATGACAATCTCAAGGATGCTAGGGATTGTTTCAAGAAGAAAGTAAGTTTTTAGTAAGGATCAGAAGGATCTGTGACTGCCTCAATAAACACAGAATAAAACATAAGGATAGCACTGTGACACCACCAGTCCAAACAGCACTGGGACATGGAACACGGAACACAGAAGAGCTTAATCCAGGTTTTAATCTGTCAGAAGCACAATAAAATATATTTGCCCATCCTTATTTCCCCCGATGCTCGTAAAACGACAAGTAAAATCAGTCTTTGTCTGCATAAAGTCAGGTTAGACTATTTTGCAAGTGACTGTCACTAAATGATGAAAACTACAAAAAAGGTAACGCTTGCGTATACCTGATACTGCAGAGGGGGACATCTTTGGCTGCAGCCTGTTTGGCTGAGGCAAGAACGGGTTATTCAACCTTTCAAAAGAAGGAGAGTGAAGCATTTAAGACCGAGTTACGCATCTGGCTCCGGCTGTATCCTCCCCTACCCGAGCGTCCCAACACCTACAGCCGCGCAGGACGCGCAGAGAGCAGCGACCCTGCCCGCGGGCCCACCAGCGGAGGCGGCAAAGGCGCCCGGGCCCGGCCGGGCCCGCCCTTCCCCGGAGGACGGAACGGTCTGGAGCGGGCACAGCGGCAGAGGAACCCGAGCCCGCCGAGGCCGGGTGGGTCGCGGGACGCGGCGAGCGGGCGGCCACGTACCCGAACGTGTTCGGCTCCTCCACAATCTTCATCTTCCCCGCCGAGGCGAAGAGACCTGCCGAGCAGAGAGCAGTTGGCTGCGGCGGGCGGGCGGACCGACCCACCGCCGCACCCGCTCGCCCCCCGC